GCCGGCGGGGGCGGCCCCCGCGGCCGAAGCGACCTCCCCGCTGGGTGGCGGAGGTGTGTCCCGAGCTCGGCGTCTGCCCGGTGCCTCCCTGCGCGCCGGGGGAGGGGAGTGAATGGGGCACCTGCTTCCGTCTGGGTCGCCTTCCTCCATCCCTGGCTGCGGGTCGGACGAGGCTCTGTGGAAACGGCGCCCGGGCCGGGGTGAGCGGGGCGCCGCTTTCCCGGCCGCCGGCCCCGGCGGGGGGTCCGGCGAGGTGGCTTCCTTCTTTGTTGTTGTGCGTGTGCCTTTTTTTAGGACGCTTATGCAAATCTCGTTGCCCTTGCACCGAGTGCCTGCCTTCAGGGAAGTTGATAAGGCGGAATGCATGGGAGGCAGTACCTGACAGCTCCCAGCTAGCTGCCTTGGCCTAGCCCAGCTAATCATGAAGTGTGTCCAAATACTTTTGGGCTTCACCAGAGCAAATATGCCGAAATTAACGGATTGAGTAAGAGGGAGCCATTTTTGTGTGTTTTCCCAGTCTGCCGTTCATCTTGCCTTCTGTTTTTGCTAGTCTCGGCTTCAAATCAAGGAATTCGGTAACTCTTGAATGGGTACAACAGGGCAGGGTTTTGGGGAAGTCAAATGTCCTTTGTAGTCTGTAAGCGTGCAGACCTACTGGAGGCAAGACTTAAGTACCTGGTCAGAAGAAGAGGAATGTGGTACCTCATTATACCCTCCTTTGTTCCCTTTGTACTCAACGGTAAAAGGAAAGATCAGTCAACCAGTTATTGGGTGGAGGTGATACCTAGCCAGTAAACTTCAAATTTCACAACTGTGTGTCTTTTTGGAGCTCCCTGTGTTCCTATTCATTCACCAGAGAGCTAAAGACTTTGCTAGAAGACAATTTGGAGTGCTTGAGTGAGGCTTCTCTTTTGACTAGCTTTCTAGAATAGTCTCTGTTTTGATTGTCTTAGCCTTGGTGAGATGGCATGCTCTCATAAGAGCCATCTCATCTCTTCCTAATAAATCCTGAGTTGTGGCATACCTAGCAGAAAACGCTAGGAACTTGCAGAAATACTAAAACATTTTTCTTGTTTCTTTTCAAGTTTTTAACATTTACAATGTATAATTCTGCATCACTCACTCTGCATCTTAAGATTCCTTCTCTCTTTGCATTTCTACTTAGAGATTTTACTAATTCTGCTTTTTTCTGTTGCTTGAAGGTTATCATCTTGGCTCTGATTCTTTGCGGCTGTAGTCACCATTCTCCTGCTCTAGGCCTTGAGGTGGCTTCATTTTTTGTTTCTTGTTATGTTTTTTTCCCCTTTGTTTCTCTGACTATCTGCCTTCATCATTTCTTCATTCTTCCTTTTTGGTGGAATCTTTTCTTATTGGTAGACTCCCTCCAATGGAAGAATTTTTTTCCTCCTTTTGTTTTCATTGATCTTCAGTGGTTTCAAGGGGCTACTCCTGAAGTGATTCTTTCTTAATCAGTTCTTGTTCAACTTCTGGTGATTCTGCTTTCCTCAGTATCACTGAAGTAACAGTTCCCTTTGATCTTGAGAAGTAAGAAAAGAATTTTAATGTCACTTCTTCCAGTGCTCAGTGTGGAATAGATTTAGGGCTCCTCTTAGTGGTAGGATTTTAATAGAGCACAGACAAATTGATCTACTTTAGGTAAATATTGAAATGACTTCTGATATTCCTCTCATCCCAGAGTTTATAGCTTTCACAATTGTCTTTTCTATTTTAAGCAGTTTTCTTCTTGAAGAAAGCTGGTTTAATACAGAAGAAATAAAAAATGCTGTTAAATTTGCAGTGTAAACAGATGCAAACCCTGAGGGAGTAAGAATATTCTCATTTCTCTGTTATATTTACCCTACTTATTACTTTTAATAGTAGAATTCAAGAGTAAATTGTCTTGGGTGTGAGGTAGGTCCCTTCAGGAGGTTTGACCATTCTAGATAAAGAATTCCATAGTATCTGTTCAGAAACAACACTCTTGAGTCGAGCAGTAGATTTTCCAGTCCTCCCGGACATACAGGAGGACAATACATGGCAGTATATGGGGTACCTGCGCTCGACGTAAGGTTGCTCTGCTTATCTAAAGAATTGATGTTAAGCCAGTGCAATTAAGTGAATTAGAAACTTTGTTTGCTATGCAAGACAAAGTAAGTTAAACTTAAACCAATGTAAAAACATTAATTCTTGCAAACACACAGTTTTGCCTGTTGACTTGAATTGTTTCAATGCAGCGTGTTCAGATAAACTGATTTAACTTTGTGTATACAAATCAATTGCACAATTACAAAGGTGGTGCTTTACATGTTAAAGTTAGGAGGCCTTCATGGTAGATTCAGGAAACCGGAGTGTGTCTAACCCGATATAACCTTGGCCACCACAGTGTAGGCTTCTATTAATAGCAAGGGAATCAAATGTGGAGCCTACTTAAGAACTTTATCTACCATCTGCCTGCTCAGATAAAATTTTGTGTAGGTATTGTATACTAATATTATAGTAACAGTAGTTTGTTTCTGTTGGTTCTTGTTATCTGGTCTTCATGTTCAGAGTTTTTTTTATTTGATGCATCTCAAAAAATACTTCTGATGAAGTCTTAGTTAACTGATCTGCTGTAAAGGAAATCTCTCCACCTTACCATCTGGAATATCTTTTCATTTTCTTTAGGGTGGCTAATGTAAATGTAGAGATGGTTTGGTCTGGGGTATAAGGATGTGAGTGTTAATCTTTTATTACTAATTAAATCTATAATTAACTTTTTAGAGATAAACAAGTGTTAATTTTGTATTTCTGATGCCTTTATATAAGGAAGCTGGAATATGGCGTAATAGACGGATGCTGATTTGCTTTAGGTACCTTGTATAGTTCTCATTTGTTTTAGAAAAATCAGATTGTCACACTCTTGGACCTTTTGATTCTCATGCAAACTTTAGTGTTTTTGATTATTAAGTTAATTACAGTTTGTCTGATCTACTAGAGTGTAACTTAGACTTCAGAAAATATCCAAGTTTGTAAATGTAGCTGTTTGTCAAAGTATTAAAAACTCTAGCTGTGGCAAGGTTTAACAGATTTTAAGATCCAGTGATATGTCAGTAGGTGAAAATAGTTTGTAGTCCTCTCCCATATGGTATCCAGCCATGGGCAAATGAAATTTTGCAGCTCTATCAGAGGTAATTAATAATGTTTTGAAGAAGGCAAAATCTTCAGTTCTAAAGCACTTATAGTAGACATATGCTCATAGTTCAGCAGGTGAGTTCATCTGTTGGAGGAAAAAAAAACCCATGCAGTTGGACAGGGGGAAATGCAAATGAGTATTTTTTGGTTGGTAGATGATCTTGTGTTATAATGAAACTTGATAGTTTATAAAATAAGCTTGAAGAAAGCAATATGCCATGTGGTTATAATAAGAGTATAACTAGTCAGTAGTCTGTTACTGATGAGTACCGTCTTGTTTCTGTGGCTGTCTTGTTCTGATTCCCCTTTAAGTGTGTAGACAATAACCTGATATACTAGACAGCCTCTACACTTTGGCTATTTCATTCCCCCGTCTCCTGTTTCTGAGTATGCCTCACTGTGTGTTGACTTACTTGTTAATTTAATCATGTGGGAAGCAGATGTTTTAGTGCTGCATTACAGTACAAAGAGAATAATATCTTTATCAAGGGTTGCATATCCTGAAAGGCAAAAAGCCAGGTTAAGAATTTCATTAAACAGGTTTTTGCATTGATGTTTGCTGTGTATTTTGATGGTAGTTATGGCAACCGGTGGCTCCATTGCCATAGAACATTGCCTTCTCTTATGACTTATACCAAAGGGTCTAAGAAATTATCAATTTCCACTTGCGACAGTGGGCCATTTCTTTATCAGTAGGCATGTGTGAAGTAAAAAACCCTATATTTATAAGAAAGGTAACTCTTACAGATTGATGTTATATGCTGTGTGTTCAA